CCACATCGTAGGTTGCAAACTAGAATATTAACCCTCTGTGAGGATTTACGTCTTATAGTAGCAGCATGTAATCGACCCGCATTAATAATATTTATAGATTTTCTATCCGCAGTTGATAAGTTATGGTATCCTGCTTTTTTTTTCAAATCTTCTTGAGTTAGAAATGCTATTGCCTCTTGTCCGCTGGATATACCAGTGGTTACAAGGAAGAACAATGGCAGTTCATCATGGAGAATCAATATCTAGAACGATTCAGATTTTTTCAGGTGCTCCACAAGGTTCTGTTCTATCAGCAACACTTTTTCGTTTACACATCCATTTTTTACCTAAAACACTTGCGCGTTTTTGCTCTCATTTATTTGCTGATGATCTTGCGTTAATAATTAAAGGATCAATAGAAAAAAAATTTTTACAAAATATTAAAGATCTTGAACAACAAGCTAATATAGCTATGAAATTATTAGAAAATTTTTCGAAGAATTTAATACTTCCAGTAAATATAAAGAAAACAAAAATGATGCTTGTTCATAGTATTGTATCACCAAGTTATCCAAAAGTTTTCTTTAAGAATGAAATAATCGAAATGGTTTCTTCGTTTAAATATTTAGGTGTAGAAATACGTACAAAAATGGGGTGGAGCTCTTTAATCAAACAATATCAACGATCGTTGAAGGTCTTTTTTTTCAATACTCTTACAATTATACGATCATATTCATAAAAACTTATCAATGACTTGACACTATGATTTGATCAAATCGGATTCTTCAAATTTGATTTCGACAAATTTTTCAAAGTTGCCTTAGTAAATAAAAACCAATAAAGGCTATATCTCTTTGAAATGAATCATCTCCCTCGAGAGTAAAAAGTAAAATCTAGAGAAAGTCTACTTTGTATTTCATTAAAGATCGGCATGATTCTTAGATTTTCACATTTGAAAAACTTTCCTAACTTTGATAGATCATTGCATTTTTGAAAGTGAACCATGAGAACTATAGAACTATGTGGAAATTCAAAAATTAAATTTTTTTATCAAAATCATGTATTCTGAACAGAGTGACAGTATCGAATAGAATGACATCGATTAAGAAAACATGAAATAGGAGAAGTATTGAAACGCATAGTTGTTTCGACTTCTTGATAACAGGTGTGTATTTTTGCGAACTGATAAGATTTTGTGCCTATGTTCATTAAAGATGTAAAAAAATTTAAGTTGGAAACATCCGAGTAATTCACTTAGAAATATATATGAGATCATTGATTTACGATCAAGGAAAACATAGCTCATACTTTCAGGTTTTATTCTTATCTTAAATAATGCTAACTGTTGTACTCCTATAGGTGATATCCATTGCACACAATTAAACCTTGAAGTTTATCATAAATGAGTTTGAAAGAGTTTCACAATATCTATGCTTATAAGTTATAATAGTAATCGGTGCTGGAAAGAAGAAAGATATCGAAATTTTGAAAGATAGAGCATAGATTCTATTTATATTTTATAAGCAATATATTTTTGGATGTCTTATATTTAGAACTATGCATGCAAGCTTGCGCAATGCTTTTAGCGATTTATTTAAAGCAACTGGTATTCGTCATAGTACTGATCATATGAGTGATGAAGATATCCGCAACACTGCTATCGTTGAGCTCGCCAATAGAACTGATCGAGGAGATTGTCAAAGTCTGAGCAGTGAACAACTGTACGACGAGCTTCGTGCTGTCACGGGATATGGAGTTTAAACTATAACAAGATCAATTCAAAATATAGACTATGCCATTTTACTACAACAATAATTCTGAATTTTGATTTTATCTAACAATTTTGAATATTCTTGATAAATTAAATAAAATTCATTGATAATCTAATGCGAAGAACATATTCAATAAAAGAGAATATCAGTGAAAAAAACAAACTTTGGATATTGAATGTATACGCATAGAAAATGAGTGATTTGAATGAGAAGGTACTTGAAGAAAAAGTTGACAGTAAAAGAAATAGTTGTCCGGCAAAGAAAATGCCTATGCCTGTTGAGAATAGAGATGTAAGTCAAACGACTGACGAGGAAACTTCCTAAGGTGCTCCTCGTGGATTTCAATGAAATTTTCTCTATAGATATTACATTGTGTCCTAGTTATAAGTCTAAAAGGATTTGGATTCATAGCGCTTCGTTCAAGAGTTGTGAATATTTTAACTTTGCCCCTATAGGGCATAAAATATAGTTTTCACGAACCTGTAATTCAATCAAAATACATTGAAAAAGCCAGGGTGTGGGTGTGGACTGGGAGATGTGCGTTTGGACGTGGGTGAGCGCGTGTATGTCGTAGCGTGTCATTGAGAGAAGACAAATGGCCACCCCTAGCAGCCACAGCCACACCCATCCATACTCAGACTCTTACCCTAGCCACAATCAGGCCTATACCAACACCTACACTCACATTCACACCTACGAAATCTTTTAAACTGTGATCAGTAAGGACGACTCTTCGTTTGAAGGTGTCAGTGTGTAAGGCTGAAATAAACATTCCGATTTGCATCCCGCCGAGACGCAATGGAATACGAGTAAGGATTGTTCCGAGGTTGTTTTAATCTGTTCTAGAATGCAATGGTTTTTTCGTTTTTGTTTCATTTCGCAGAAATATAGGTATTCTAGGCGAAATACATCATCGTTTTATGATGTTTGCACGCATCGACGCGTAAGCTCAGTAGATAGCGACGCTGAAGAATCGTTACATAAATAAATTGCTGTAAGCATATTTGAAGAAATGCTTGTGTTTTTTGTGTTAGTAAAAGAAGAGAAAAATTTAATTATTTAAATGAAATGGCGATGGAAGAGAAATTTTAATTTTGTATATTTAGGGGAGGTGGATAATTTGTTTGTCAACAGCAGTAATGGAAAATGAAAGCAGCTTCACATTCATATCGAGTAGAATATCAAAAAAACTGTTCTGGTCAATTTTTGAAAGAGAATTTTTGATAAAAATTAGCAGCTCAAACTGATGTCTTTTGCTTATGGAAGACTAATATTAAATATTCAGATATTTTTATGATTGAAATAAAATTTCTTTTATCAATTATATAGTCAATAGGCCCGTGACGACTCCCAATTCTATGAATTGATTCGTTTCCAAGAAGCAGATCTATGCACCAGTTCTTTTTTCAGGAGCCGGTTTGTTCCAATACTGGGACAAAGGAATTTCATATAGTTTTCACACCAGTTCTTTTGAAAAGAACTGTGGAAAGAGCCGATTTCCAATCTCGTTCCACGAAGTGTCACAGGTCTGATTGTAAATATATAAATATTAATAATTGATGCTAAAATGTTTTTAAGAAAAAGAGAACTTAAATGTATCATTTATGGATAATCTTATGTAACACATTGCATTTATGAGGATAAGAGTTTTTTTAGATAAACCTGATTGAAGTCATATTTCTTTTCGTTTCGTTACTTGACATTATTTTGGAAATGTGAAACAACGTACACTAAGCTAGCAGAGTAAAGCCAAGCAAGGCCTCTGAATATTTCTTCCAATATGTGGGTTGCTATGATGTATCTTGCATTGGCTTCTCTTTCTAATAACTTTTATTTATGCGGTGATTCGTGTTTATTTTTAATCTTCTCGGTAATAGAAAAAATACGCAAAAAAACGTTGCCTTCTTGTTATTTTTTTCAATAAAAAAAATCTAAAAAAAGAGAAAAACCCACTGTTTGCTGTGCATTTTTTATATGCGAGTCATTCGAACTGAATTTCTTCATTTTTTCCTTGCAAGGTAAGAGTTTTCACATATATTCCGGCAATAGAAAAACACAACAAAGCAAAATAAAATAAATATCGATTTCGTTGTAGGATCTACAGTAATCTAAAATAAACTAAAATAAAATATATAAAAAATAAAAAGACTTACTGTTGATTAATGTACAGTGGCTACCAAAATTATTCAACCGCCAGGCGGAATACTTTTGCTTTGTTTAGGGTTTGGGTGTGCGTGTGGGTGTAGGCGTCGGTGTGGGTGTGGGTATGAAGGAATTATAGATTCACACCCACACCCACCCCACACTCACCGAGCACCCACCCCACACTCACCGCACACCCACCCCACACTCATCGTACACCCACCCCACACCCAATCCACACTCACCGCACACCCACCCCACACCCACCCCACACCCACCCCACATCCACCCCAAACCCACCCCAAACCCACCCCAAACCCACCCCACCCCACACCCACCCCACATCCACCCCAACCCCACCCCAAATCCACCCCACACCCTCAGACCACTTACACCCTTGTGTGCATTATCTCATACTATTCGTTACTGTATTTGTGGATAAAAACCCATTACTCTGATGAGAGAAAGTGTTTTTTTCTTTTCCACGGACGTCTTTTATTCGATGAACATTCACAATTGAAACAGAATGGTGTAATTAGTTGTTTACATTTAGTGCAGTACACCAACGACTTTGAGGGTTTCTTTACATGCATGATCGAAAGTAGTGAATTGCGCACGTCGTTATTTTATGTTTCTCTTTCATAAACAGAAAAATATTTGCCTAGGATGAAATAATAGTCACTAGAAGAGAGCAGCTTCGTATTAAAGGGGTAACATTCAACATCATATTGTCACATTTTGCCTCTTCCATTTTTATGGCAGCCAACTGGGCTAAGTAAAGTAAGACTTCCATTGTTTGAGTTTGGTGATTTTTCGATCGTATTTAGTTTTTGGATAAAGCTTATCTTTTTCTATGTTTCATTTCAAAGTCTATCCAGTATGTCCCACGACGGACTTTACGACGACCCGATACGTTCCTAAACGACCTTATAAAAATAATAGTAATAATGTTCCGTAGATTTATCACTCGTTGAGGCCAACCGCGGCTGTGTTTGATTTTCTCCACCGTTTTCCTTTCTGCTCTCTAAAAAAAATTGGTGTCATAGGAAACTATTAAAGGTTTTAGCGAAGATCCAGAACCTTTTAAGGTTCCATTCGTTTTTTAGTAAACCATCAGAAGGTTCTAGATGATTTTAAGAACCATGCCAAATAAAAAAATGGTTCCAGAGGTTGAAAAGGGTTCTATCTTCCACCATTTTTCTACATAAAGAACCATGACAGATGAAAAATAGTTCCAGATATTTAGAAAAGTTCTATCTCGTACCAATTTTTTTTCATAAAGAACCATGACTGATGAAAAATGGTTTAAAAGATTTAAAATGGTTCTGTCTCACACCTTTTGTCTTTATAAGGAATCGTGACTTGTAAAAAATGGTTCCAGAGATTTAGAAAGAGTTCTATGCTGAACTACTTTTTCTGTGAGGTATCGCGACTAAAATAAAATGGTTCCAGCGATTCAGAAGAGTTCTACCGCGCACAATTTTTCTTATTAAAGAACCATAACTGACTTTAAACGGTTCTATGGATTTATAAGAGTTCTATCTCGTACCATTTCCTCCCCATACAGAACCGTGGTTGATAGAAAATGGTTTTAGCAATTTAAAAGGGTTCTATATTGCACCATTTTCTTCATGCTCTCCTTCTTTTATAAACGTAGTTCTAGCACAAGTCGCCTGTATTGGATTGGACATAAAAGAGGCCAAATAGATTCTTTGAACTTTGTCAAGCGTTACTATACATTTACAATAGCGTCCAAATCCAGGACACCTCATTAAATGTCACATAATCTTATGTCTCATCTGAAAGCTCTTCCAAATTTCACAAT